ATATTCTGGAGAGGGTGCTGCATCGGTACAGAGAAGAAATCTGCAATGGATGCCGAGTCAGTCACCCCGGCCAGAGGCAACACGATTGTCTGAATGACATTCCAGAATATTTCTTCAGAAACAATTACAACGCGTTAATGAAAAGACTTTGGCTCGCCGACTTCATTACTGCGATTGACCAGAGTCTTAACCTCTTAAGCACGGCGGTCCCCCCATTGGACCCCTCCCACCGTTTTGTTTTCGAGATAATGTCTCAGGGCTTCTTCACATTTATGAAACTATTAATGTGTAGCACCAGATTAACGGGAAGAATCTCAGCTAACTGAAGATATGAACCATTTTTACCAAAACAAAACACAAGTCTCATAAGAAGCGTGTAAATGACCCCTGAGCGAAAAATTCTAACGCACTGCGGCACACAATTCAAGATAAAAATACCCTTATTACTTATCGTAGCAGCACATACAATATAGCCGATTAAAGCTGAGACTCCACTGATTATTTAGGTATAGTATCATCACTGAGCGATCCTAAATTGTGACAGGGGAAGCAAACACAGACATCACAACACGTACCTTTACGGAGCTTTTACGGCAGATCGTCTCACCGTAGTTGTCAATTAGGTCAAAAGACGTGTTCAATGGCATTAAAACGAAAAAAAAAAATCTACAACTGTTGATCCATAGGTTGATAATGTACCTGTGCCTTTTAAAAAATTATTTATAATCCATAATTCCATTTTTTATGTAAAAATCGGAGCGGAAAAGTTAGCTGCTAATGGTAGCCACCAGAGTGTATGCAGCTTCCGGTTTTGGTAACGCGTCACTCTCACTCCTTATTTGTTAACGTGTTGGTGTGTATATAACTTTCCCTCGATTCCATTGGCTCTAGCGGTTATAAAGAGATTTCATTCATCAAAATCGAGCAAGGGGGGCCAGAGATAGGTCAAATCCACCGAAATGACCCCAGAAGTGGGGGTTTTTGGCTAAATCTCTCTAAAAAGGTCAAATTTCACTTGTTTTGCATCAATCTTGATACATGGTACTTATTATATGTTGTACTTTGGATTCCTAAAGCTTTTAGTCTACTAACCCATCATCCAAGGGTAGTTTTCACTATCTGTAAAAAATAATTTTTGGACAGACACTATAATTTACAGTTTTTTACTATGTAAAATCTGAATTTTCTTTAAAATAAAAAACATCTATATTGATTCTGACTTTTCTAAATCCAACTCACAGGTTTATCATTACTTTGAGAAAAAAGATGATTAATTTACCCCTTTTAGAAGGGAAGATATGGTCTTTTGTTCTGGGAATGTCATTTTGGAGCCTGAGACCTGAAAAACAGGCTCAGGGCTTAAGAGGTTAATGATAAAAACATTTACACGGTTGAATGGAGGATCCAAGGCGCTTCGGAGGCTTTTCTGCACCATCTCAAAAACTGCAGACGCCTCAAGGAGAGACTTAAAAAGATCCATGCTGAGCTGGATGGAGAAGAAGAAGACTAATAACCAGCGGTTGATTGAAGCCAGGGATTTTTTTCGATACTTTGACTTTTCTTTAATGTAAAAAAAAAATGGGTAACTACTATGGAAAACAATCTGTATATATTTATCAGAATGCAGTCAATACCTGTTTAATAAGTGTGTTGTTGATGACGATTGAAAACAGAATGAGTAGTGATCCCTGTGTAAACAGAATGGCTGAAGTTTGTAAACTAGAAGACATTTTGGATATCGTTCATTCTGGCAGTACTATTCCAGGTCATTGGGAAACGATTGTAAACGAAACATTTAAAGTGGTACTGGAATCTTCATTTTCCGAAACATTCTGTAACATTACCGAAGAAATGAAACAAACACCAAAAGTGTATCATGTGCTCGCATTGTATGCTCTGTTTGTAGATGTAATGCATCTTTGTGTCAAAAACAGCATACACATGAATACTTTGACCGAAGTGCAAAAACTCCATTATAATATTTCCCTTCATCTGGGGGATTCTGTGCTGGAGAAGATCCTGGGGATGTTGCAATCAGTATAAATGTATTATTGATTCCTATGGGGTGAAAACAATAAGATGTGTAAGCTTTCTGCTGTCAGAGCTGCTGATTACTTCCGTTTATTTCCTGCATTTCAATGGACAGAATATACAAAGGACATGTGAGCTGCGTTCCTTTTAAGAGATCCTCACACGCTATGACTTTTACAAAGTAAGTGTCCAGTCAACAACAAAACATCAGTGATCGTATAGTGGTAGTACATTTTTCATAAGCAATGTGAAACATTCAACATAAACAAACTGGTGTACTAAACTCACATACCTGCATTTCAATGGACAGCATATACAAAGGACACGTGAGCTGCGTTCTGTTGGAGAATTAGCACCACGCTCACATTAGCTTATTAGCTCAGATTAGCTATTGATGATCACATTGATAAATCATTAAAACAAATAGCCAATCACACTAAAAACTGCTGTGAGCATTAAACGACTAACATTAAACTAAACAAACACAACAGAACGTTATTGTCCTAATAAAATAAAAACACACATTTTGTCCACCGACATAATACAGGCACCTTACCCTCAAGAGATCCTCACGCGCTGTGAGGATCTCCCTCAATCCATTGCCGTAACAAAGCTACAGTAATGCAGGCACACGTTTGTGACACCAGATGGCGCAATTCTCTCATTTAACCAGGATTTTACACCAACCTTTATAACTCTGTTACAAATTAACAATAGATTTTTTTAAAGAAATAACAATAATCTTTGAATTCATATTTTTATGTTTGTGGTATTTGATGTCCTTTCTTGTTGCAGCTGATAGTGGAGACCCAGGGTATGACAACAACTAATATTTATTATGAACTGATATATCTTAAAGCTCCCATGTCATGCTTTTCCGGTTATTAACCGTCCCCTTGTGTGTTATGAAGGTTTTTATGCATGTAAACGGTGTGCAGAGTCAAAACCCTCAAAGTACACCCTGTAGCGAGTAAAACTCTAACACAGAAAATACCTCCCCAAAACGCCTCGTTGGAGATACGTCACTGCCCATTTGAGTCTTCCATTTAGTTCCGGGTACCGCCTGATGTCATGCGGTACCCGGAACGAAATGGACCAATCCCGAAGAGCTATGGCCACACCAGCAGCGGCGTGTTCCTCCTCCAGAGGTTCGAAGAACCGGCATTTCACAGACGAAAGCTTCCAAAACATTGCCCAGTTTGAGGCCGGATATGCACAGCTTGTTTGGACCGTTTGGAGCAGGGGAAGATCTGGGTATACAACCTGTAAGTTTGCATTGTTATTTGTGTATTTATCAAACAAGACTGTTTAAATGTGTAAACTGTGTTGGACTGCTAAGCCATTGACACAGTGCTAACTGTGCTAACTAAGTTGCTAGAGTTTCCATATATCAACTCTAATATCAGCAGATGGCCTTGCATACATGTATCTCATAGCAGGAGAATGTCTGCAGTCACACACACGGAATACTCATACAGTATACTGTACTGTGATTTACCGTACATTGTGACCGTACATATACTGCATGTAGCTAACGAGGCTAGCTGTATGCTAGCGCAAAACAATGTATTCATGCAAGTTACATTGTATGGTAGCAGAATACCCGTATACGATTGCAATTATAAACACGTTATTGCTAGCCTAATATGAACCACTAGCTTTTGTTCATAGTAGTTTTATTACACTGCATTATAGTTGCCTTTCCTCCAAGCTAACGTTCATATCGTGTTAGCTACCAAGGTAAACAAAGCTAGGTTAGCATATTAGCAGGCAAGCTGTTCATTACACAACTACTACTAACGAATCTAAAACAACTAAGTTTCTCTAATATTTTGTGATTTGCATTTGATTTCGTCCAGCCAGATCCTGGCGGACAATCCATGACGTGCTAAAAGGCACTTCTACTACTACTGAGGCCTCGTGCTAAAAGGCACCGCACCGCACCGACTGTGCGCAGGCAAGATGCAAGGAGGAGGAATGGATGATATACCGTGTGTATATATGTATATTTATGTTCATTTTGTACATTTCTAAAAATAAAGTTTAATGGAAATACTTAGTAGGCCTATCCTTTCTTCCCTGAATTCATATATAGCAAACCATGATTTGATTTCTCATCAAACAGTAGTAGTTTATAACGGGTAAAAATAACTTACTCTTTGTTATGAGCGGCTCGTAGGCCACAAAGACAAGGAGACATACACGAGTTTACAAAACCATGGCACATTTATTGTGGTAAATGCAGAGATAGGTGGTTGAGAGGATCGCAGAGTTAGTCTTCCTGCAGCCGCTTTGGAGAGAGACTGGGGCCGTAGTGTCCGGAGGTGTCCGTGATCGTGCTGATTAGCCTCTTCAGCTCCACCCCATCGTAAGACAAAGGCCCTGGGGCCGTCACACTCTTCTATAACAACAGTTAAAAATATATATGTATATAAAATATACGGCTGTGCCGACGCTATGATAAGACTGATGTTACGCTGAGAGCAGCCGGGAAAAGCACTGTTAGACATGGGCGCAGCCTCTCTGGTGGTTGACTAATCAGAACGAGTGGCCGAGCTGACCAATCGGAGCACACTAGGCTCACAGGGAGGGGGGGGGCAAGAGCTCCAACGAGTCGTTTAGTGGAGAAAGTGAATACTGCTGAATACACATGCTTGACAGAGATGCTGTATGCGAAACCAATGTGAGTTTGGAAAATTGCACAGTATAAATCTATTTTAGTATACCTCAACAATGTAATTATGATCAGTGGAAATGGCCATGACATGGGCCCTTTAAGACATCGAACACATCACCTGGAATAATTAATCAATTATTTACACATGTGTAGTGTAGTACTGAGTCCTGCCTGTCAGTCAGCGCTGAGGGCAGTCCCCGCCCCCTCCTGTCAGTCACAGCTCAGGCCCCGCCCCCTCCTGTCAGTCACAGCTCAGGGCTAGCCCCGCCCCTTTCTGCAGGTTGAATCTGCTTTTAATTCAAAGTCAAGTTTTAAAGGAGTCACATCTCCGAACAGAGGAGCGGAAGACACACACTCTTGCAGCCGAAAAACAGCTCCTATTCTCGGATACAAACCCCCCAGAGGAGCCCGGTCCAGGTTTGACTTGCAGGTAAGCTTGCTCTTTAATGGTCCTGTTGTCTTCGTTTTCCCCTTACTTTGGTGTTCGCGGTCAAATTTGACCGATCCTGTTTTAACTGCTATTACATTAACACAAAAACCATTAATCATCACCACATTTCATTTAACACCCTTTCAAACTGTAACTATTGTATCAGACTACTGGTATACATGAAAAACTGCAGTAAATATACAAAGAACAGACACTGAACATGTATTGTGTGTGCCAGGTGTGATCCATGTGGGGGGATGGGCACATAAGAGCAGGAAATGTATCAAATAGTTTTCTGTGTGTGTGTGTGTGTGGGCGTGCGTGTGGGCGTGCGTGTGTGTGGGCGTGCATGTGTTTGTGGGCGTGTGTGTGTGTGTGTGTGTGTGTGTGTGTGTGTGTGTGTGTGTGTGTGTGTGTGTGTGTGTGTGTGTGTGTGTGTGTGTGTGTGTGTGTGTGTGTGTGTGTGTGTGTGTGTGTGTATGTGAGTGCGTGGGCGCACCTTGCGAACAGAAAGGCAGGCAACTGCTTGGGGCCCCGGACCAGAAGGGGGCCCCAAAGAAGGTAGATTAAGAAGGTCCAGAGCAACGACAACATGAAACCCCCTCAAGGCGGCCCCGTGCATAGCGCGCCGTAAAATGCTGCTTCTTATCTTTAGTTTCGTTCCCTTGCTCAGCTCCGGGGGAGGGGGGGTACTGTCGGCAGTGCATGGTGATGAAAAGCTGGTTCGAGGGCCCCCACAGACTCTAGAATCGCCACTGTGTGTGTGCTTGTGTGTGTTTGTATGTTTGTGTGTGATCCATGGGGGGGATGGGCACATAAGAGCAGGAAGTGTGTGTGTGTTATCTGATTCGGATGGTTACTAATTACTTTTCTTTATGGCGGTTACAAAGTCCAAAAATCATCCAAAATGCAATGAAAGTGGTGATCAGCTATTTCTATGTTCAAATGTCTCTGTGAAGGATATCATGAAGCCTTAATGCAGTCTAATGTAAAACTAAAAAGTGAGTATTGATGAAAGTAGTAAATCGGTCAGACCCGAACACAACAGGAGGGTTAACGGTGCTTTAAACCAGACCTGATTGGAAAAACATGCATTATATGATCCTGTAGATGTTTACATGAAAACACACACTCAATAGCATGAGTACAGGAACCTACGGGATCACACCTTTTACTCGGTGTACACACATCACACATACCTGTTAGTATATTCATATTTATACAACTTGTATTCCCACTACTGCTGTTTTCCCGCCTCTTTAGAGGGACGTTTATTTAGCAATTTATTCAAAATACATGTTTAATCGTGGATAAATGATATGCCGAATTCATCAGAAGTAACCCAAGCAGCTTATTATGAACTATCCTGTCTGAAATCAACACATATCTTGATAAATACCCACGTTTTTGTTAAATATACAGTAAGTTGAGTGGAGTTTGGTACCTGTATGCTTGTGAGACACATGGAGGTTGAGCGCACCGCACAGGTTGTCTGTTAGTTTATGAGGCGATGTATGCTAAATACAGGGCTTAATAGTGGATGGAATATATGCCGAACTCACCAGCATTAAACACAACAGCTTATTATGAATTATTATTGTTTTAAATCAAAGTTTATTTGTCATTATACCCATGTTTTCCTTAAATACTCAGATATTTGGGTGGAGTTTGGTACATTGTGTGGTTTGGTTCGGTCTGGCCTGAATGGAGCCCGGTGGCTTGGCAGGACAGAGATAGCAGTGCACTGAAACACGTGGTCGACTTTGATAAAGTGGCTAACTTTAGCAACGTCACTTAATGCCATTATTGTAGGAAGTAGTTCTGAAAGTTAGCTGATAGCAGGTTAGCATGGATTCAATCTAGAGAGTTAAACTACATTTTAAAGCGATATGGATTCATTCTGAAGGGTGTTGCTGCTTTTATTGTTGCTTTTAACTCGTGAGTAAATTAAAAAATGATTTTTTATTTTTGGTGCCAGATTATGATGAAAAAAAATAGACCAATATATTTACTATGCGTGTTGTTTTTCTCCCTGTCAGATTCAGCATGACAGCCTACGACATTTTGAGAAGTAATAAGATATCCATTGTGGCCACTTTGTGTGCAGACTACACGCTAATCCTCAACAAAGTTGATGAGAACAAGTTGATAACTGCACGCGAGTACAAAAAACTAAGAAGCATCGACAAACTAGATGTAGAGGACCGCGTTGTGGCGTTGGTGGATACGATCATGGACAAAGGAGAGGACAGATGCCAACTCTTCCTGAACCTCCTGAAAACTGATGAGGCTATCCAGGAGACTTACCCTGAGCTGAAGAACATACTGGAGAAGGGAAACTGCCTCTTGCCACACCCGGTTCAGGCTTCTTCAGTTGAAAACATCGGTACGTTAACATGCATACAAATGACTAATACGCATGCCAAATGTGTGTTACTGTGAGGTTGACAAATGTTACGTTTGTAAAGTGTCCTTCTGTTTCCCTCTTATTCCCGCAGATAATCAGCCAGAAAGCGGAGAGGAGGTGAGATAAGCTAATATTGAAAAAGCACAATTAATGTTAAAATGCATGCGTCAGGGTTTTTAGTTAGCCTTTGTAATTATTATCCTGTATTAACATCTAGAATAGTAGCATTGTAATACTGTTAGGGTTAGATTCAAACTAGTTAACCTCCCTGCCCTCAGGTACCAAACAAGGTGCTGATCTAATCCTTGGGGGGGTGTCTTTCGAAAATATTGCCCAATTCTGAAATGTTATTACTACAGTTTTGGATAAAAGATGCTTAGAGTGTTCATTTTGTATTTATTTGTATTTTCCCAGCCGAGCAGCCCGACAGCCCCCAAAGCACCGACAGCCCCCAAAGCACCGACAGCTCCCATAGCACCGACAGCTCCCATAGCACCGACAGCTCCCAAAGCACCGACAGCTCCAATAGCACCGACAGCCCCCAAAGCACCGACAGCTCCCATAGCACCGACAGCTCCCAAAGCACCGACAGCTCCCATAGCACCGACAGCTCCCATAGCACCGACAGCTCCCATAGCGCCGACAGCTCCCATAGCGCCGACAGCTCCCATAGCACCGACAGCTCCCATAGCGCCGACAGCTCCCATAGCACCGACAGCTCCCATAGCACCGACAGCTCCCATAGCACCGACAGCCCCCAAAGCACCGACAGCTCCCATAGCACCGACAGCCCCCAAAGCACCGACAGCTCCCAAAGCACCGACAGCCCCCAAAGCACCGACAGCTCCAATAGCACCGACAGCCCCCAAAGCACCGACAGCTCCCATAGCACCGACAGCTCCCAAAGCACCGACAGCTCCCATAGCACCGACAGCTCCATAGCAACCGACAGCTCCCATAGCGCCGACAGCTCCCATAGCGCCGACAGCTCCCATAGCACCGACAGCTCCCATAGCGCCGACAGCTCCCATAGCACCGACAGCTCCCATAGCACCGACAGCTCCCATAGCACCGACAGCCCCCAAAGCACCGACAGCTCCCATAGCACCGACAGCCCCCAAAGCACCGACAGCTCCCAAAAGCACCGACAGCCCCCAAAGCACCGACAGCCCCCCAAAAGCACCGACAGCTCCCATAGCACCCGACAGCCCCCAAAGCACCGACAGCTCCCAAAAGCACCGACAGCCCCCAAAGCACCGACAGCCCCCAAAAGCACCGACAGCCCCCAAAAGCACCGACAGCCCCCAAAGCACCGACAGCCCCCAAAGCACCGACAGCCCCCAAAGCACCGACAGCTCCCATAGCACCGACAGCTCCCATAGCACCGACAGCTCCCATAGCACCGACAGCTCCCAAAAGCACCGACAGCCCCCAAAAGCACCGACAGCTCCCATAGCACCGACAGCTCCCAAAAGCACCGACAGCCCCCAAAGCACCGACAGCTCCCATAGCACCGACAGCTCCCATAGCACCGACAGCCCCCAAAGCACCGACAGCTCCCATAGCACCGACAGCCCCCAAAGCACCGACAGCTCCCAAAAGCACCGACAGCCCCCAAAGCACCGACAGCCCCCAAAAGCACCGACAGCTCCCATAGCACCGACAGCCCCCAAAGCACCGACAGCTCCCAAAAGCACCGACAGCCCCCAAAGCACCGACAGCCCCCAAAAGCACCGACAGCCCCCAAAAGCACCGACAGCCCCCAAAGCACCGACAGCCCCCAAAGCACCGACAGCCCCCAAAGCACCGACAGCTCCCATAGCACCGACAGCTCCCATAGCACCGACAGCTCCCATAGCACCGACAGCTCCCAAAAGCACCGACAGCCCCCAAAAGCACCGACAGCTCCCAAAGCACCGACAGCCCCCAAAAGCACCGACAGCTCCCAAAGCACCGACAGCCCCCAAAGCACCGACAGCTCCCATAGCACCGACAGCTCCCAAAGCACCGACAGCTCCCAAAGCACCGACAGCCCCCAAAGCACCGACAGCTCCCATAGCACCGACAGCTCCCATAGCACCGACAGCCCCCAAAGCACCGACAGCTCCCATAGCACCGACAGCCCCCAAAGCACCGACAGCTCCCATAGCACCGACAGCTCCCAAAGCACCGACAGCTCCCAAAGCACCGACAGCTCCCAAAGCACCGACAGCCCCCAAAGCACCGACAGCTCCCATAGCACCGACAGCTCCCATAGGACCGACAGCCCCCAAAGCACCGACAGCTCCCAAAGCACCGACAGCTCCCAAAGCACCGACAGCCCCCAAAGCACCGACAGCTCCCATAGCACCGACAGCTCCCATAGGACCGACAGCCCCCAAAGCACCGACAGCCCCCAAAGCACCGACAGCTCCCATAGCACCGACAGCTCCCATAGCACCGACAGCCCCCAAAGCACCGACAGCTCCCAAAAGCACCGACAGCCCCCAAAGCACCGACAGCCCCCAAAAGCACCGACAGCTCCCAAAGCACCGACAGCTCCCATAGCACCGACAGCCCCCAAAGCACCGACAGCTCCCAAAAGCACCGACAG